GGTCTGTCTGAAAATATTTTAAAATTTAAAAAAAAAATATTAAGAGTAGCCCTCTAAGCTAAGGTCTCCCTGCTCCTGACTATCTCAGAAGATAAATCATACCAAACAATGTTCCCCTGCCTTGGGAATATTGTGCCATTTCAAAACAGCAGCCTGGTCTGGTAATTCTGCATTTTGACCCCTCTGCCAGGCTGCTTCCTTGCTGCTTCCTTTAGCTGCCAGCAAGCATCCTTTTCCTAAATTAACCCAACCACAATGAGCTGCAGCAGAATGCACATAATTGCTCTTTTTTGCTCCAAACAGCCCGATTTACGAAGGGGACATTTCCTGCAGCAGCCAGCCTTTCTATATTCATTATTCCTAAATAAGTTTGTGGTATCTTTATGCTCAGATACCACCTTTAATCTCACACACTGCCTTCAGCAGCACCACTGGCTGCAGCAATCCCTTAAGATGCCCTCTTTCCATCTTCTCCCAGACAAGCAAGCCAGGACGTTCCCGATGGAGCCGGCAGTCACCCGGCGAGAGCTGCATCCCCCCTTGGATTCAGGCATGCACTTCCACCTGCGCTGGCAGCGCGGAGCACTCACGTTGGCGGCAGCGCGGATCCCTTTCAGCAGCTTAACAGCGGCTCATTTTTAACCCCGGCCAGCGGATCTAAGCTGCTCTCCGCAGGGCTCAGACGGAGCTGCCCGCATGACACCGAGGCATCCAGACGCCGGCTCGCCGGCTGACATGTCAAAGCAACGTCGTGGTTGGCAAGCTCGTCAGCAAACCGACTGACAGCCCACACACCGGCGGGAGCGGGTCCCTGCGCTCCGCGCCGCCGCCGCTGCTCCGGGCTTTGCGCAGCCCCGTCCAACTCGGTGTTGCTAGCTGGCGTTTTCTGCCGGTGTCTAAAATAGCATCAGGAACGTTCCCTGTTGATTTCCCCGGCAGCGCTTGCTGAGCCGTGCCGGGGACCACGGCTCCCGCAACCTGCCTCCACGCAGCGCGTTAAAAACATTTTCTTGCCTTTTCCCTCCAAAGGAGATGGAGGGGGGGGGGTGGGGGTGGGGGGACGGGTGGAAAGCCCTGTTGATGTTTTTCTGCCCAGCTACCAGCAAATCCCGACCTGAGCTAATTCTGCTATGGCTGAAAGCAGAGGATGTCTGCAATGCATGAAGCTGATTTGCTGACTTACCCTTCATCTCTCCCAGGAATGCCAGGTGAAGAAGCCGGCCTCTCGCTCCAGGAAAGAGCCACAAGAAGCTGGGCAGCAGCCACTGCAGAGCCTGATCAGAAGTTCGCTCTCTCTGTCACAGTGTGTGCAGCTTGCCAGGTATAGCCGGGATGAGAACACCCCGTGCTTTTCCCAGGATGAATGAGATCAGCACATATTCAGTCAAGGAAAAAAAAAAAAATATATGTGATGGTTTAAGACCCAGAGGAAAATTGTTGGTCCACAAGTTGCTCTGCTTTACTACTCAGGATTTTCTGGGGTGAATTTCATCAGGAGAGGAGTTTCTCCTCTGTATTTGCTGTTGTTAGTTGTATTAACAAGCAAGCAAATAGTGGTAATATCCATGGGGTAGGCAGGAACCCATCCTTAGCCACATGAGGTGGAGGGCATGTGAAGGGCACTCTTGCAAGCAGCAGAGATGCCTTTATAACCTGCAGGCTGATGCCTTTTGACTCAGACCAGCACCTTGCTGTTACAGGCTCCATAGGGGCTGTGCAGATCCTGACTCCACTGATCCTGGCTTTCCTGAGCGAGGTGGTTTGGATTAAACTCTCTTCCACCTGGCTGCTCCATGGCTCCCCAGGTAGACAAAGTCCCTTTCTTCTGCCATGCCCTTCACATCAAGCATCTCTCAAGGCACACCACCTGCCTATCAGGCTGTGTATCACTGAGCTGAAACCCTGGGGTGACAGGCAGAAAAAGGGCAAGAGGTGTTCAGAGGACTCAGGTGGGCTGAAACATTTTGGTGTCAGTGTTATGTCAAAGAGAATCTTGTATCTATGGGTCTCTGTTTTGCTGGGGGGGATCTTGTGCTCCAGTGCAAGAGGCTTATGGCATGGCAAGAGTTTTGATGTCTGCCTTGGTCTTAGCTAATGGTTGGGAATCTGTGGGGCACAAGGAACATGGCATTTTCCTTTAGTCCTGGAACTAGAGTGATTGCACTGGAGGAAAATGAGATGATTTCAGGATCAGGATCCAAGGCTTGTGTGGCTGGGATCCCAGCTCATGTCCCCAACTCCCTGGCTTTAGCTGCTGCAAATCCCCTCCCTTTCCCTCTCCCAAAGCCCAGGGCTCAGAGTCACTGAGGCACTGACCTCTGCCACGGACTCTCTGCATAACCCTGGGTGTGTCCCTGCACCTCCCCATCCCACTCATCTGCACAAAGCTCCTGTGCAGCTCATCCATGCAGGGAATGGGTTCCCTGCCTCCCACACCTGGCCTTGTTCCCTGCTGACAGCGAGACTGGAATGTGGGGTTTGATGTGGCTGAGACAGTCCCCGTGAATGGTCTGAGGGGGAGGCCTGGCTCCCCTGGGTGTCACTTCAGCAGGAGGCAGCAGGGCAATGTGCTGTGCTCACCTGTCACCGTCCTAAGCCAGGTTTGTTCTCCTGCATCAGCAGAATTCATGGATGGCTGCCAGCCAGACCCCAGGGGAAGGTTTATCCCACCTGCACTCCAGGTCTGGCAGAGCCTCAGGTGACTTGTTGCTTGTCCAAGCAAGCTGGCTTCAGCTGGTGGCTGTGCCCAGAGCCCAATGGGTGGGACAGCAGGGAATGAAGCAATCATGGAGGGCCAGAGAAGATGCAGGAGCAAAGGCCATTCGAGGGCAAGCTTGGCAGGAGTCCTGGGGACATGGTCCCCTGGCACAGTGATCTCTGAAGTCACAGCACAGAAGGGCAGTGCTACATGGGTCCCTCTTTGAAGGGTGGGCAGTGGGGATGATGGACCTCCCATCATCTCTGCAGAGCTGCTTCTGCCTTTGACCAGTGAGGCAGCCGTGGGCATGTTTGGAAGCTACACACAAGACTGAACTAACCTACCTCAGATAAGGCTTGGATTAATTAGTCAATACATGTTAAGTGCTGCAAAGATTTAAGGCTCTGCTTAATTGTTAAGTAACTCAATCATCAGTGGCTGAGTGGGATGCCTGAGGCAGAGTGGATGAATCAGCCTTCTCTGGCAAGTGCAAGGTAATGAGGGAGGAAACTTTTCAAGGCTGGGTGACAGTAGGATGGGTTGGTTAGAGGACAGCAGCAATTACTGAGGTCACTGGGACTGACACAGGTAGTTCAGAGAAGCTGTGGCTGCCCCATCCCTGGAACTGTTCCAGGCCTGACTGGATGGAGCCATGAGCAACCTGGTCTAGTGCAAAATGTCCCTGCCCATGGCAGGGGTTTGGAATGAGATGATCTTGAAGGTTCCTTCCCACCCAAAGCATTCTGTGGTTCTATGACTGGGAGCACTTAGGACATAAAAAATGGTCAGGTCCTGCATGGAGCAGCTGGCTCTAAGGAGCAGGAGTCCCTTAGCAGATGGAAGGAAAGGCAATGATTTCATAGAAGAAAGAGGTAAAAAGACCATTAAGAACTTTATTGAGCTCTTCAAGCTTGTTATGGCCAAGCCACTCTGAAGGAGGTGAGTTTGGGGCTGAAGCAAAATGCATTGGGGGATGTGAGAGTGGTTTGGGTGAAGTGAGAAGCACTTAATGTGCCATGGACTCACCTGTCTTCCCTGCAGGGACTGACCCCATGTTATAGACTTGGGTGGGACATGGATCTGCTGCTGAGGAGCCAACTTGTGTCTTGCAGGTCAGTTGCCCATGCAGTGATTACTAGCTGAGAGGGTTCCCAACAGGAATGTTGATGCAGTCCATCGCAAGCCTGAGACATCTCTTCTGCTGCCACCATACATCATGTCCCATTCACTCAGGGGTGAGTTTCAGACCTGGACCTGTTGCCTTGTTTCTGTGCCAGCAAATTTCATCTTCCACAGTATCTCTATTTGCCCCTACCCTTCCTGCTGAGCTTTGTCTTCTGCTTCTCTCCATGTGGGAGATTCCCAGGTCATGGAGTCTGTTCCCAAAGACCTTTGAACAGGATAGGAGTGTCCTCAGAGTCAGCCAGGGTATTTTCCACCTCCTTGTGAAAATATGTCCCCCCTTGAAGATGTAACTCAGTGATACTGAAGCTTTATGTCCAGGGTTAATCCCCATACAGAGGTGACTTCAGCCATCCATGATCATGGCATCTCAGCCAGGTAAGATGAAGGACTCTTTGGCATTGTGCCTCATCCACACACATATTCCCAGGGCTTTCTATGAGGCTGGATGTGGGAAGGACCTATCTACCTGGCATCACTCTGGCTGGAAAAAGCCTCTGAGCGCTGCCCTGGTGAAACATTAATATTTTCGGAAACAGGGAGCGGGTAGGAACAGCCTGTACTGTTGTGACAGAGCTGCTTGCATGAGATGAACCTCACTGCCAAGGTTGGGATATGTGCACATGGCTCATGTGGGATAAAGGTATGAGCTCTGGAAGGGCGAGCAGGACAGCATGGAAGCACTGGCAAACAAGCCATAACTGCTTGCTCTCTTACCCTGCACGCTCCCACATCCCTGATCCCAATCCTTGCCCTGCAGCTCTCTGTACAGAGCAGCACTTCCATAGGCAAGCAGCCCAGATAGGTTGCCTGGGTCTTGGATTAGACCTGCTTTATTCTTGGAGAAGCTGAAGTCACCAGCAGGCAGCCCCCTGTCCCAACAGCAGCTGCGGGGCTTGGCGTAGGTTTGCAAGGCACCCCTTGACCTCAGCATCGCCCACGTCCTTACAGCCTTGCTTTAATCCTTTTTTAATTAACTGCTGAGGGGTGTGATGGTATCAGAAGGGTGGGAGGGGGGTGGCCTGGGGTGTTTTGGGCTTGGTGTGTGTGCCAGCCAGCTGGGTTTGTTGTGAGCGTGTCAGATCTCACAGGCTAAAGTTCTCCCTCCAGATCCGGTTGCAGCTCAGGCATTGTGTGGATCATCCCTGCGGCTCTTGCACTGCTCAGGGATCCTGCCGTGTCCCACCTGGCAGGCGCTGGCAAATCAAAGATTTGCGTGAAATTGGCAGCTGAAAGGCACAGTGGCTTCTCTGATGGCACAGAATGCTGGGGAGGAGGCTTGACTTCCGTCAGAAAACCCTGGGGAGATAACGAGCAGAGATAGAGTGGCCACAGGGATGTCCAAGATGGAAATGGGGGTGAGGTCAGCAGTTTGTTGGTCACTGAGTTATGCAAAAGGCTCCTAAGGGGTTTGGGTTTACCAGTGCTTGGTGGTGGGTTTTCACAGGTGTGCAACAACCTGCTTATCTGGGGTTTGACTTGAGGACAAGGCATATCCTGGCTTTCCACACCCCCTACATTTCCACCATGGGGCACCTCAGTTGCCCAGAGTGTCTCCAGGGATCTGAATCTCCTGGGGAGAACAAGTTGCACAGTGGACCTGAATGCCATTAAAGTGGCTGTCCCCAGGCTTAAAGCAGCCTCTGGCTGAAAGGATGAGGTGATCTGGGGACAGATGACCTGTCTCTACCCATGGGGCCACAAGAAGGCAGGATGACTGGAACTGAGATCCCAGGCTGCTGGCACTACCAGCATCATCAAAAATGTGTGTTCTGGGGGCCAGTGGAGATTATGGGAGCATGTGATATTGAGTCTTAATAAAAATACACCCAGATAATAACATCCACTGGTCGTGTGTGTCTGTCCCACACCCTCACTGTGATTTCTTTGAGAGAAGCTTGTCCAGCAGATGTTGATTTGGCCTTTCCTGGCCCTGATGTGGCTCTCAATTTTTTTGTGTAATGTGGCCTTGAGGGGAATCAGGGGCATCAGAGCAGGGAACAGAGCACAGCTGTTCTTGTCCACTGTGGATGATGAGACACAGCCGTGCCTAAAGCAGCACTGAAATTCAGAAAAGAAGGAGCTGACCTGGATGAGGTGGATGCAAAGACTTTCCAAGGGGTGAACAACACTTCAGTCCCACTGGGAAAACCAAACCACATCCAGTGATGTGGGGCAGAGGCCAGATGTGTTCAGTCAGTCTGATGCCCTCCTGGTTTAACTGGTGAGGGCTGCAGACCACTGTGAACAGCCACCTAGGGTAGCTGGTGCACAGTAGGTTCTCCGTTGCTGGAAATCTCAAAATCAACACAACAAAATTATTGCTCAAAAGGAAATTGTGGGCTTAGCAGAAGTGGTCAGTGCTGGATTTTGCAAGAGGGTGAATTGCTGAGCACTGTTCATTCCATATGCCTGAAACCCTGTGACTCTGAACCAGATGCTGGTCACTAGTCCCTTTTAACCAGAGTCATGAGAAGCTTTGTGAGCATGTTACATGGCCAGGAGGTGCTCTTCAGCATTTCTTACAAAATCTCTGCTGCATGTGCACGCAAATTTGGGGAAACTTTGACTTCGAGGCAGCCATCCTCATGGCTTGTCTTTGTGCTGACCTCAAACAGCTGAGTGAAAGAGGTGCCTGAAATGAGGAAGACATGTGGATGTGCAATGTGTCTGCCTGCAACACACCTGTTTTCCTTCCAGAGAAGCATGCAGGGGGTCCTGCCCACCCCCGTGTTTGCTGGCCCCCTTCCCAAGCTGCTCCCTTGGAACTGGATGTGCACAGGCAGAGCAGAGTGGAGCACCAGAGAGGTGCTTGGTGAGGGAAATCTGGGCTTTAAGGAGACAAAGTTTAATCAGAAACCTGACCAGAAGGTGGAGAACAAGGAGATGGATGCAGAAATTCTCCTTGATGCTTCAAGCTGCTGTTCTCTGTTGAAACTGGGAAGTTTGGCAGCAGCAGGAGCCTTGTCCCAGCAGAGGGTCCAGCATGGGAAGAGATTGCTCATGGCTGGGTCACCTGAGAATCCTTCTTGACAGAAAGCTTTCAGAACTGTTTGGTCAGATGAAGGGCCTCTCAACTGTGGAGATTCCTACCTTCCTTTTGGTTATGCTAAGGATAAAGTTAAAAAAAAATCCTGTGAGTCAAAGCTTCATGAAACCTCCCTCCAAGTACAGGAATGCTTCACTTCAACTTTTGTTTTTGGGCCGCTTTTTTTCTTAAGATCTGCTGGCTCTGGGGTTGGCATGAAGTCAAATGCTCTTCAGTGAAGTCAGGCTTTAGCTGGAAGCAAATCCAGTTATTCATCCCTTTGTCCCCAGTGCAGGCAGATATGTGTTCCTCTCCTGAAGCAATGCTGCTGGTTTTGTATCCCTGCCCCACATCCCTTCTGATCTGCAACACAGAGGAGCCTCAGAGTCTGGCTCAGCACTCAGCAGCAGCTGGTTCAGCTGGTGGCAATGTGGAATTTTGCAGGCACTAGGCTGTGTGAGGGATTGGAAGTAACTCAGAGCTAACCTGCTTCTTATTCCTGGGGATGAATCATGGCAGTGTCTAAGCTTCAGGCAGCAAAGGGGTAGTAGAGCAGGGCAAATGCAGGGTCACAGAAAATGGAGTTTCTCAAACAGTAATTCAGTTGTGCAGAGCTGTGATACTGCTTGGCTGCTGTTTTTCTGCACTCTCTGTGGTTATTCCCCATGGGGCTCATTAAAAGTGCAGGGTTTGTCCCTGTGGCACTGCTGTCTTGGAGAAATGGCCACATGTCTCTGCAGAGTGGAGCAGAGCACATGTGTTCACTCCAGTTCTGTGGCTGGAGAAAGGGTGGAGTAAAGGAAACATGGAAGGGCATCAGCTGGGGAGATCAGGAGGTGGTGGGAGGGGAAGGTCTGCCAAAAATGGGACATGGCCACAAAATCAGAGCTCCTGACATACCCCATGGGGCTGTGGGATTGACCAGCCTGGCTACACATTAGTCTGCCTGTGCTTCCTACAAGCTGTGCCTGTTATACCCTGACCTGTGCCCACACAGCAGAAGGGACCTGTGGGGCACAGCAGCCCTGCTGCAGACTCACTGCCAGCTCAGACCAGACCTGGAGGCATCAGGAGATGCTCAATTAATGCAGGCAGTGCTCAGCATGGGGAATGACAAGCCAGCAGCACCATAGATGAGACAAATGGGATGTCCCTGCCAGAGGCTGGTCGTGCCTTGGCTTTGTGCTGTTGAGCTGGTGCAGCTCTTGGCTGGTCACCCCTGGGAGAAAGGCAGCTGCATTGCAGAGTGTGCTCAGAGCAAGGCAGCCAGGCTGCTCTGCACCCTGGTGCGGTGGTGCTGGGGTGTGTGTCACCTGTGGTGCTGTGTCACCACTTTCAGTTCCTCCTGATAGTGTCTCAGAGAAAGGGAATTGAGCTGCTTGCATTAGCACAGAGAGCTGAGGAAGGCATGGAGAGCTGGTAGGGGAACTTTTCATACCTCTGAGCTGATGGCCAAGTCAGCTTTGTAGATGTTTCTCACCTTGTCCAGAATGGAGCTCGGGCCATGCTCTGAGGGATTGAGAACCTCTGCTATGGAGGAAGACTGTTAGACGTGGGGTTGTTCTGCCTGGAGAAGATAAACTGGGGCTCTGGAGAAACCTTAGAGCCCCTGCCAGGACCTAAAGGGGCTACAGGAGAGCTGGAGAGGGAGTTTTGAAAAGGCTCCTCAAGTGATAGGACAAAAGTGCAATGGTTTCAAACTGACAGAGGGCAGATTTAGATTAGATGTTAGGAATAAATTCTTTAGTGTGAGAGTGGTGAGGCACTAGCACAGGCTGCCCAGAGAAGCTGTGGCTTCCCTATCCCTGGAGGTGGTCAAGGCCAGGCAGGATGGAACCATGAGGAACCTGGTCTAGTGGAAGGCATCCCTGCCTATGGCAGGTGGTTTAGAGCAAGACGGTCTTGAAGGTCTCTTCCAACCCAAACCATTCTGTGATGACACAAAAACAAGATGTGAAAGAGAAGGGCTTTTTAAAAGCCTTGATTTTTCCCATGGAAGAGTCCTGTCATGCTGGGTGGAGAGGCTCTGCTCTGGGACCTTGGTCTGCAAGGGCCACAGGAGGGGAGGAGGCAAAGGCAAGCACAGGGATCCTGGCAGGCCTTGAAAACATGAGAGAGAATTTCATCTGCTCAGTGAGAAGGAAGAGCTGGCAGGGAACCTTCCCCCTCCCCTTGCATCTGTCCAGTGCTGAGCAAACACCAACTAATCTTCCTGACACTTGCAGAAGACAAGGAAGCATAAGAGTGCCATAGTGGTCAGTCAGTGAAAACCACAGCTGCAGTGACTTATGCTGCATAAACCCACCCCTCAGGCAGGCTCAGCCCATCAGGGACTGTGTTTCCCACAGTAGGTCAGGGACAGACCAGAGGGGAGCCCAGACATCCTGTCTTGCAACTCCTGCTCTTGCTTCTGGGCCTTAATGAGCTCAACCAGCTGGAGAAATAACTTCCCAAGGGGGCTGTAGGGGTGAGGAAATAATTAAAAGCTGATCTAGGCTCCTGCTTTGGAGGAAGAAAAACCCCCTCAATTATTTTCTTAATGATTTAAAAGCACCCTTTCATCTCCAAACTGGCAGGAACCTTCTATTGTTTGTTTCTCATATGTTTGCTCCTAATCAGTTTTTGCTCAGCAGAGATGGAGATGTGGCAGTTAGTTTATCAGGTAGAGCAGAGGAGACACGAAATGGACTGGAGAAAGTTAGTTATCAGCAAATACTTAAAGATTTGCTGCCAAATGTGCAGGAGCTTGTTCTTTCTGCTCACGCAGATATTTGACAAATAATAGGAGGAATTTGTTGGGTTGATTACATTTTAAAACCAAATCAAAACAAAAGTTGTTATCACTTATTACATCCAGACTTTCCTGCCCACAGCAGCTGTGTGTACCCATGTCTGGCACCAAAACACTCGAGGCCAAGCCGAGTCAAGTTGGTTCCCTGCAAAGCCATGGACAGGGGATGCCACCAGCCGAACCCCTCCATCCTGCCCCATGTCTGAAAGTCACCAGGATCTACTCACTGGCCTTTGTGTCCTATCCTGAGTGTCCTGAGATGGTGTATGGAGATGTGCTGGGTTCTTGCTGGCTTGTTCTGTCAGGTGCCACCAGAATGTGCTGCTTGTGTAGCCCTTCCCTGCCATTTGTTCCTTCTGGTGCATCCACACAGAACATTCACATTCCCTCCAGTCTGAACATTTTTGTTATGAAGCCCTGCATGGCAAAGAAAACCTTTTTCACTTGGAGAGGGGACAGCTACACAGGACACTTTGCTATCTCCACACCTGGAAATAACCAAAAGTCACCTGGGTAAGATCCTGACCAAAGTTTGAAGATGCCCTTGTTAGAGCAGATTGGAATGGAGACACCCAGAGGACCTTTCTGACCTAAATGATTCCATTCTCCTCAGATAGCACATGAAAGAGAAGGTCTTTGTTTTGACAAGAGGAAAGGAAAGAGAAGGGGGAGCAATGACTTCCGTGTCCCTCATTTGCCTTACTGATACACTTTGAATCATCAGCAGCTGTGTACATGACCCTGCTGGCTGCAGGAGAAACTGGGCCCTTTCCCTTCACAAGGCTCACAGGGACAGACTTGGGATGGCTAATGAACAATGCCTGCCTCCTCCAGCTGATTTCAGAGCCCAGTGTGAGGACAGGGCTCTATCCCAGTTCCTGCCAGGAGTGGAGGCATTAGGGAGCAGGCAGCTTGCCTAGCTCTGCAGTGACATGCCGGCAGCAGCCAGACTCCAGTCTCTCAACCCTCTCCATCTCCAGCCAGGCTATCTCCAAGGATAGCCCAGTGCCAGACTGCAGATAT